GTTCAAATCCCGCCAAACGCCTAGAGTTTTTCACACTTGGGTTAACTCAAAAAAAGAATAAACACCTTTAATTTTGCGGGTGAAATTGCGGTGAGGCCACTTGTACAAGCACCCTCAGACGCCCCCGTCCTGTTCTTGGCAGTATTTCGACTAGGGTGGAATCTTACATACCCGCTGACGTCAAAAGCTCACATCTATCGCCTTTTTGCACTCACTTGAAAACACCCGCATCACCATTTACAATGACAGGAAGCTCCACCTGAGCCAAACTGACTCAAACTCACCAATCGAACTCGGTGTCAGTCGCTCAATGCCATAGTAGTTTTTGAGAACTTGTAGAGCTTAGCGGCGTGAACTGTCAAGAAACAGTAGGGTGGATGTTGAGTTAACCTCCCAGAAATTGTTTAAATTATCTAGTGGTTGGCCTAATGTTTACCATCAAAAAAGCGTGCCATCAATAAAGAAAAACAAAATACAACGAATTTACATATAGTTTGTGTATTTTTTGTTTAGTTTATTTTTTAGTTTATTATTAAGATTTATTAATGTAAATGCTAGTTTTACTTGAGTAATTTTAGGTCACTTTAATTTAGTTAGATTTTCGTGGAGTTTTAGTTTACTCTTAACTTTATAACCACGTTCGGATGCTTATCGAGTTCCCATTTGTACAAGTTTACTTTACTCAGTTTACATAGTTCGTTTATATTGCATTTTATATATTATGAATATTTTAGTTCAGTTTTTAGGTTAATTTTAGTTCAGTATTGTGTTTTAGATTAGTTTCTGGTTTAATTAGTTTATCTTATGTTAGCTTTTTTCTGTGGTTAGCTGATGGTAATTTTGCTTAGTTTGTAGTTTATTTCGCAATTTATCAGAGATATGCAGTTCTTATTTTATTTTTTACTTAACCTAACATCGATCTAGGAAATTCGTAGTTGTTTGGTTTGTTCTGGACGAAGACATAGTCCAGGAGGTGTCAGTGCTGGGATCGCAGATGCCTCCAGGGCGGGAGGCGGAAGTAGGTATTGGTCAGGATGAGGCGGTGCTATGCGCAGGTTCAACGGAGGCGCAGGCCATTTTCGTTAAGACCGCAGATACCGTGGGGACCCAGCACTCCGCTCCAGGCAAGGTGGTCTGTGCCCACGCGAGCGTAGACGTCACCGAGCACAAGCAAGTTGTCCGCCTTCAGCACAGTTACCAGGAGGGTGTGCAGATCCTCGTAGAACTTGTTCTTTGTCTCGTCGGAATTGGTCA